TTAAACCCCAGCGGCATATCAACTCAGTTTTTTGCAAATTTGCAATGGAAACGCGACTAATGCTAACCCCAACATCTCTCTGCAGCAGTGGCAGCACAGCTGACAAAAGCAACAACAAAAAAAACCTCCCAATTACCCACTTGTGTCCCCTCTTCCTCCCCTCCACAAACACACACCTTCTCTAACTCTCTCCATCTCCCCCTGCTTGTGTGTGTGGGTGTGTGCGCGCGCGTATTCCTCCAACCAACCACCTTCGACATCTTCCTCACCCCAATCCATTTTGCAGGCAGGCCAGGGGAAGATGAGAAGTGGAGCTCTGTGTCCATAAATCAATAGGCCTCATTCACCTTTGAGTCAGGCTGCATCTTCAACTGTATTCGGCTGTACAGTGTGTGTAGTGGGGTAGCGAGGGGGGGATGGAAGAAAGAGAGGCTGCTGCTGCTAGTATTGGTGGTGGTGGGCCCAAGGGTCTTCGCCTGCCTGTCTAATGCATTATTGAGGAGAGCATCTCAGCCGTCATTGCAGGTGTAGAGGCTGAAATAGTCTTATTAGCTGCTGCAGATAGAAGTGTGCAGAGAGAAGAAGAAGAAGAAGAAAAAAAACGTACACACAAAGCTGACCACAGCCAAAATCCAGAAGCTGCAGGTAGAGAGAGGCCGGTGGTGTTTTTTTTTTTTTGTAGAGGGAACTTTTGACACGCTCTGGAAATGTGACGATCGTGACCAAACTGTGAAGGCAGAAACATTCTCGGTCTTCTCAAAGTGGTCAGAAATGAGACTCTGCTGTGATTTTATGATGTTTTGTTTCACATTTCCTGCTTGGAGGTGGTAAATACAAAAATACTTCAATCTTTTTTGGGGGGGGGGATTCCAGCCCCTTTCTGAACGGTATCTGCTTAATTCGTAATGTGTTGGAGACTCCATTAGTGATGGTCTGTTTCATTGAATTTCCAATAAACATCTCACCCCCGAAAGTTGCGCTCCCTGAAAAAAAAATACATAAAAAATCCTCCTCAAGGCCCTGGGAGTATACAGACATCCAACAGCATACTTTATAGATTGGCCTACAATATTTGCGTCCAGGAAAAAAAAAAAAAACAGAAAGCAGGCTTAATTTGGAGAGCTTTTCCACACTCCAGCGGGTCTGTAAACGGTATGAAAAACTAATGAGCGCCGACGTGTCATTTAAAATGCATGTGCCCAGTAGGAACATTTGATTCGCTCATCTACAGGCTGCAAACAAGCTTTGTGCTAAACGTCTGACATGTAACTTATTCATGCGGCGCTTTTAAATTTACTCGGATTTCATCAGGCTGCAGTGAGAGAAGGCTTTGCTGCGGCGCTTTATTAAAAAAAAAGACAAAAAACAAACAAAAGACGGCTTATATATTCACCTCAGACATCTTCCCCCTGTTTAAGCCTCTTGCTACTGTTAATATTCGTGACTTCTTGACCAAACTGACTCACACACGCCCTGTTTGTGAATGACTGCATTGCATGAAAATAATCCCGTTCTCTCTCTGTGTGTGTGTGTGTGTGTGTGTGTGTGTGTGTGTGTGTGTGTGTGTGTGTGTGTGTGTGTGTGTGTGTGTGTGTGTGCCCTGTCAGTTCAGTTTAATTGGTTTGGGAAGCCTGACAGCATTCAGCAAATGGCATTTCGCAGATCCAACGGCTGACATTCCTTGATAGATGATGAACAAAGCCAAATCCGTCGACGTGGAATGCTCCCTTTTGTCTGAGCTGGGGTTCAGACTCTTCTGGTTAAAACACGCAACTCTGATCAACATTTAAAGGCCCACGTGTTGCTCCATCAACTTCACCTGTACGGATGCAAAGTGTGGCGAATGATCCAAGTGTTTCACACTTTGTCCATTTGCAGCTCCAGTCAAAGATTATGTAGAACTGAGAGGAGTTGTTTACATAAATCTTAATAAAAGTGGATTTGTAGCAGATTTCCTGAGTTTTGGTTCAATGTCTACATGGAAGTTTTTTGGGTGGATTCACACCATTCTGGTTTAGTCCACTTTAATCGATCTCTAGTATGTTTGCCTGGAAAGCCCAGTTTGTTTGGGGAGGTGTGAATGTGCAATCAAACTCTGACTGCTCACAAAAGCCAGAGACCGTTCTGAAAGCAGACATTCTGCTTTCAGAACCAAACGAATGCTTGTGTCTGGCGCTAGCAGGAGAAATGGCTTGTAGTCTTTTGCAAAAAACATCTGAAATCAGTCGACACTCCATTCTGGTTTACTTTTTGTGAGGAAAGAAGTTGCGCTTGTGTCGTCTTTGGAGGGTTTTGTGCTGTTTCATTCAGTGGTTCTTGGTGCAGCGCCACCACAGCTCAGGAGGGGAACAGGTTTTACAAATGATTTGTATCGTTTAACAGAGTGCAGCGTGAAAGCGAACCGCTCCAGCTGCAAATGTAACAAATCTTGCAATCCAGTCAGGTCTACCGGACTACCAGATGTGCATCGTTTCTTTTTTCCATTCGGAACAGGCTGCACACTTCCTGTGTTTCCCATAAATGTGGAATCTTCCACTCAATAAAAAATGTGTTTTTTAAACTAATTCAGCCAAACGACGGCATTCTTTTACTTACATAAATTGAATGAATCAACCTAAGATATTATGCAAATCAATTATATGTGATAGGAACTGGAGTTGGGCATTTTAACAGCTTAAGGAAGGTCTTTTCTAGACGCCTGGTTCGTTTGTTTGTTGTAAAAGTTGAATTTTCATTATAGTAAAACCACAGAACGGAAATAAAACTGTGCCTCTTTCATTTACCGACAAAGCCATGGGTTTTACAGCTTTAGAGATAATTTACCACAAGTGAAAGCAAAAATGACTCAGCATTAAAATGGCTGCTGACCCCTGATTTTGAGGAACCTCTCAGTAAGTTTTGTGCCGCTTTGAGGTTCGTGAATTGGGACGAGCAGGAGAGAAAAAAAAACAAACCCTACTGTGGTTTTTGTACGGACGCAGACAAAACTGTTTTACTTAAATACCTGATGGTGTAAGATAGTACTGTAATTACACCAGCTAGCTAGCCTCAGGATGTCCCGCCAGACGCACCTATCTCACCATAGTCGAGTCAAGTCTGGGAAACCGCTCCCGAGATAATTACACGGCCCCTGTCTGCTTCCCATTCTCAGTCTTAAAGTCTAAAAGCAGATAAAACCCTTGTGAATATAAACCCAGACATACTTCCTGCTTTTGCTAGTTTGGTTTCTTCTGCGTTTTGAAGTCACAGACGTCGCATCTCCATAGTCTTTACCTCTTTGGCTCTATTCAGCTCTTTTAGTTGATCTGAAAACTTCATGTTGACGTCTTGATCTTTCTTATCAGATAACCATGCAGTCAAACTATGGTTCTACACGATGACCTTAAATGGTTGTCAAGTGGACGTACGTCTTCTGATTTGACTGATCCCAGCTTTATAGGAAAAGTTATTCACTTTTTGCTTAGTTTAGCTGTATGTCTGGGAAATATGCAAGGTTGATGGAAGCTGTGCAAGCGCCATGCTGTTGGGTTTGGTGTCTGCATTAAATAGAACTATAACTGCCCTGACGCAGCACCGCTGCTAACGCTTCAGAAAACATTTTCTTTTTGCGTTAGCCGGCTCATGATGAACACCAGAATCAAGCCGTCGTTCGCTCTAGTATTAGCAGGCGCCACTTCGCAGGCGGTGTCTAACCTTTCTGAGTAGTCGGGCTGCATTGCTGCTTGCATTAGCTTGGACAGCTCAGCCCTAACAGACCTGTCAGATCAAGTTATAGAGCATTCACAATGAGTGAAGTACATCTGCAGTGACGGCCATCTTTCAACTCCACCAAACAAATTCCTATGAATTGACTCCCGTAAGACTTAATTTCACTCATGTTCAGACTCTACACACACACAGATGGGAGACGCACACACTATTGCTCCACTGAACTTTCCGTTCCCTAACAGGTTCTGAGTTCAAGCGAGGACGCTTCTTCTCCGTGACATAACAGGGCATAAAGAAGCTTTTGTTGACATCCAGTGATGCTGAAACATCCATTCTGGTTTCTTCCATAAACACAAGAATCCCTGAGAAGCTGAACCCGCACATTTACATTACAGCAACAATCATTATCATGGTATTATGCACCCAGTAGGAGAATTTCTTTTGCGTATTTACACTCTTTAAATATGTTTGTGTTGGATCATTTAGTTATTGGTACAAATACCTAAACTGAATGAAACCAAAAGGTTTCATTTTGGCTCCTACTGATAGGTTGTTGAACTAAGTGGTAAAAAAGCAAACGTTCTTACAAATTCAAAGAATTTTTGAAAACTGGCCATCTACCTATTAAGTACTCCAAGTTGATCATTAATATATGTCAATAATACCAAACTTCAAAATGTGTCATCCTGTAGTTAAAAACAAAGTTGGGTTATACGTCCAAATCCCAAACCGCCTCCAGGCGTTCGGTTCAATCCGTCGTTTGGAACATGAAGAGTTTGCCACAACCCAAAACATTTGAACCATATCTGTCCTAACTTGCGAAGCACTATGCAGAGAAACAGACAAGAGGCCCATGAGTTACTTTGGAGGAACTGCAGAGATCCACTTAGAACGGCCCAGTTAAAGTCCACTCCCAAATACAACAAGGAATCAATGCTTGGCAATGCTTTTAAGCTGCCTGCAGTATTAAGAGACTCTGTCATTTAGACCTCACAAGTCTGCAGCAGCTGCAGACTTGTGAATTGTGAAAAACTTTGTATGTGTGTGTGCGTGTGCGTGTGTGTGTGTGTGTGTGTGTGATTTCTGAAATTGATGGTGAGACGGAATAACATCCCCCGTTCCCTGTTTTCCAACTGACGTTTTTCACACTCATTTTGAGCAATTCTCTAAGACAGAGGAGGGTTAAAATCTATATTTAAGGCTTTAAATCCAATCTGATTTATTTTGAGGTATTTTTAAAAGACGAATTGCAAAAATTTCTAGAAAATGGTTAAAAAAAAATATCGTTTCAGGTGGGCAGAATTCAAATGCAGCGGATTTTGACTTCACATCTTTGACCAAAAGGTGACCAGTTCACTTCTTGCCATCCAGTGGTGTGATTTTTATTCCCTCCGTCACATTCTTTTTGCTGTTCTCTGATTTTGTAGGAAACATGCAGACGGGCGGCGGGCCGCGCCTGGAGTCTGAACCTGGGGTGACCTGATAACCGGCTGCGAGGTTCAGCAGGGGGAGACTTTTTTTTCCAGGAAATGGATAGTTGTTCTCTGCCCTGCTGACCCAGGACACTCATTGCTGTTTACACAACACTGTGCACAGTTACTGCACAGTGTTAAAAGAAAAAGTGCAGCAGTGTCTGGAAACTACCAAGAATCAGAGGCAATTTATAAAAATTACTTAATAAGGAATGCAGGACTGCGGATGTCTGTTTAATATTAAAATGGCACAGCAGGAAGCAAGCCAAACAGCCAAACGATGGATTGATCAGCGACATCTCTTTAAAAGTTTTTCTCTGTTCGCTCAGTAAACAGAGGCTATGAGCTGTTAATGATGTCCCCCCGGGTCAGCGCTTCCTTTTTCTAATCAAACATGGCTTAGCGGAAAAAACAATATTTTCAGTCAGCTAGATTATGTTTCTTGAGCAATTAACCTGAAACACAATCCCTGCGCCAGAGGAGCTGCTGTTTGAAACAACAGCTCGTATTAAAACAGCAGAATGTGTTGTCAGTGTAAAAGTATGTCTCACAGCTCTACCTGCTTGCTGTCAGTGTGTGATTTTCTCCAGTGATGTCAGTTCAAGCTGTTGCATGCAACCGCCAGACACTTGGTGACTACTATTATGAAAACCACAACACCCAATCTTGGAATCAACTCAACGCACTTCGGCAGTTAGATGTGACGGTTATTTGGGGATTTGAGGATTCCAAGTATTTTGAACTGAGACTACGTTTTTCACTGGTATGCCAAATTTTGGACAATAATACTTTGTGTTATTGTCGTCAGACCGGGTAACCTGGATTCATGAATTCCCAAGATTCATCCTGTATGCTTTGACGCATCACTGCTTTAACACAAATGGTAAACTTGATTCAAGTTCTACAGAGGCCTGGTAATGAGCCATTCATTCTATTCAAGTTTGTTTAAGCAGGACGATGTTTAAAGCATACAGCACACCAGGTCTCGAGAGCTAGAAATAAACAACTCGGCCATTGATTCATGCTTCCTTGTAACAACAGTTCCGGCTTCTGCTAAGTGGTGTAATGTTGTGGAGACTGTTTTCTTGACACACTTTGGGTTCACATGTTTTCATGCTGTTGCCCTACGTGGTTCGTGGGGCAGCGCCACCACAGGCCAGGAGGCAGACAGATTTGGTGTGAATGCACCATTAGAATACTCAAAACTGTAACTCTAACCTGAATTTTTTTTTTTTCTAGTTGTGGAAATGGAGCTATTCTAAATGCTTAGCTCCATCAAAACTGTTTTAGTATAATCACAGTAGATGGTTTATTAAACCTGGACTAGAATATTCTACACTTTTTATGGCCTCTGTCATTGCACTATTTATGAAAGTGGATTAGTAGCCCACACAAACTTCTAAATCTCCTCCAATGCCTCTGATATTTTAACAAAATATTGTGCTAGTTAGGAAGAGTTTTAGCCTATGTCTTGCAAGTTGTGGTTTAAGAAACTCTTAAGACGTGTATAACCAGAGTTTTAAAAGTATACAGTTTTAGGAAGCTGAAGGTACGAGTCTCTCCTTCTCTACATGGTGGTCTCTTCTGTGAACACTAAGCAGGCTGGTGTGTAGCTTCCATCCCCAAAAGGGGCCCGTTCAATCAATCTGTTTCACACAAATGTAAATAAACCTATGCGATGGTAGCGCAGGATGGCTGGGCAGCATTCACAGTGCGGGTGACTGCCGTCCTTTGGGGAACCGGAGCAAGAAAAAGTAAGCAAGCCGTGACCCGGAGCGATTTGTACCTCCAGAGTAACTTCACCAGGACCCTTGGGGTGCGGCACAATGCAGTGTATATTAGATTTGTTTACACCTCACTTGGCCTCAAAGGCCACCACGACGGGTGGTGGTAGAGGGGAGGGTCAACCCGAGGGATCGCGGCTCCATTTGCAGACTGAGGGAAAGCCCACTTCTCTTTTTAGAGCACAAGGCTAGGGTCAGCATGCTCTGATTTTGATTATGTATGCTCCTGATGGGAGGACAAGCTAATAACTGTTGTAGGATCAGAAAGAGATGAATGCAGCTCTCTGGGCAGACGGAACACATGCAGAGGCTGGAGACAGGACTTTGATTCGTGATTCACTTTAATCCCATCAGCGTGGCTTAAATCGTAAATTGGTGTTAGACTTCCTGGGCGCAATCTTTATGCAAATGGAGCTGGCATGTAGAACACTGTTATAGACTGAAGGATCAGGCATGCTGAGGGTTAAACAGGAAGCTTCAGGGTGCAATACACCAGTCCTGTTTAGTCTGCTTTAATCAAACTCTAGTTTGTTTGACTAGAAGGCCTGGTTTGCATGGGGAATTGAACTCTGACGCTGGGCGAGAATCAAGGTTTCAGTGCGGTTGACGTGAACTCTGCTGCAATTTAAATTCATCTGTGGATGCAAGCGAACCGGAGACCACTGCAATTGCAGGAAGCGAACTGTAGTTCAGGGCATTCTGGCTAAATGCAACCAAAACAAACATGAGAGTCAAACACTAGAGGGAGAAGTGATTTGTAGTCTTTTACCAGAGACAAAAGAGAAATCGTACAACTGCTAAAACGCTCCATTTTTGTTGACATTTTCCAAAGACGGAAGTTGCTTTTGTATCTTCTGAGATTTTTGTGTCATTTCCTTCTGTAGTTCTGGGTGAGAGAAAACAAATAGGTTTTTCAAAGGTTTTGGTTCATTTGACACAGTACAGTGTGGAAGCAAAGCGCACCAGTTGAAAACGTTCCAAATTTTGCCGTTTTCGTCCCCAGTCGGATGGAGTCTACTGAACACATTTAAGGTGTTCTTCCTGGTTGCATGTCCACTGCCATCTTGCAGGCTCTTTTGTAAAGTTCATTGGCTTTTACATTCTGAAGGACAAAACATCTGAACAAATTAATAAGTTCTTCCCTTTGACTAAGAGTTTTCAAAGCCATGACAGAACGGTCTGACAACGTCTTCATGGAAAAGTGTTGGGAGCTGGGGCCGTTGTGTTGCTGAAGGGATGTGTGCGCGAGTTTGGGTGAGTGAGTGCGCATGGCCAGGGAAACCGGTACACTGCCTGCCAGCACAAATGCAGCTGCAGGGCTTAAGGAGCCAGAGGCCCGGCTGTATGAATGCATCAAGTGGATGTTAATTGGCAGCCCCCGCTTTCTGCCACTAGTTGAACTCCTCCTCCTCTCCTCCCTGCCTCTCTTTCTTCTTCCCTCGCTCCCTGTTTTTAAGAACAAATGCCACATTCCTGCCATCAGTTATCTACTTTGCTGACAGCCTCAGTGGCCCGTGGAGGACTCCCCCCTGCTGCAACCTGTCCACTCCAGGAGGAGGCCTGTTTACACAGTGTTGATTGGGAGTGCCCCGCGTTGCCCTCTTGACCTCTCCTTCCCCCTTTTCTCCCTCACTTTTTTCTTCCCCCCCTTCTTTCTTTTCTACACTCCTATTTTGCCACAGGCCCCTTTGGATTTGCTCCTCCCTCCTCAGTTGTTTCTGCTCCCGCACGACTTCGGCCACCGTGCAATGCACAGCGGATCACTGGAACCCGCTATTGGATACGAGGGTCGACGCTGCTTTGCAGAAGCCTGGGCGGCTGTGATGTAAATCAGATTTTACCGGCCTTCCTTTAGTGAGCCTGAGGGACGCAGTCAGCTTTGGCAGACGTTGGCCCAGATTTGCTGCAGAAATAAGTGACTTTTGTCCCTTTAAGCTCAGCTTCAAAATTCCATGTGAAACAACTTCAGAGCCTGACTGTTTCCATTTTATTGATGTGGAAGCAGTTACTCCTAAAATGAGTCTTGAGACTTGGTCAAGCAAGTTCAGAATTGCGGTATGTCTAAAAAAAAAAAAAATCATCTTGTACTGCCTTACACTGAACACAATGTACAATGTTGCTAAATATACTGCAAAACAACCAACTGCCTTCAGAAGTTCAAGATGGCTGTTCACACTTAAATCTTAGAGTCTGTCAGGATTTGAAACCTGAAAGAGCTTTTCTGCATTAAGTCTGCATGAACAATTTACCAAGAAGAAACATGAAAACCATGCATCATCATTTATTTTCACATTCAGGCATTATTTTGTATTGCTAACATTGGGTGGGTGAAATAATTTTTTTATAGTGAACATATTTACCCATCATGAGATGTTCCTTGTGTGACACCTTGGTAATGACACGACTTTCAGTCCAAACTTATTTTAGTTTGGAATAAACCAATTTTGAAACCTCATCCAAACGCCAAAACAGTATTAAAAATAAAAAATTACAGCATTTCCATCCATCCATCCATCCATCCATCCATCCATCCATCCATCCATCCATCCATCCATCCATCCATCCATCCATCCATCCATCCATCCATCCATCCATCCATCCATCCATCCATCATCCATCCATCCATCCATCCATCCATCCATCAGACATTGTTTTCCCTAGTTAGGTCGCCAGGTTTGATGGTTCCCATCTCCAGCAGTCAACAGGCGAGAGGCTGGATCACCCTGGACAGGTTTCCAGTCCATCAAAGTTCTGCATTTCCATTAAGTGAATTTATTTTCAAAATATCATATTACACAATTATATGGTCAATGGAAACAAAGCTACTGATAGATTCCAGCTGGTGTCTTGGTTTTCCATCTCTTTCTGCATTTGTCCCAGTGTCATTTCACATTTTTATACATAACTTAACTTCTGAACTTGGTTTAGTTTCTTTCTTGGGTTATTACCAACACTTGGTGAAAATGTTATGTCAGTAGCCCCTGTAGGAATATGTTCACTATGAAAAGTTGTGATCGCCTGGTACTTACTTTTACCCGCCGTCAATCCTAAGAAAGTACAACAAGCTTCACTGCTTCTGCAAGGCAGGGCACATCAAACGAGTCATTTTAAACAACAATCAAGTCTACAGGCATTAGATAATTGATAAAGGGCATAATCAGTATCAATGTTTTTTCTGGTCAAATGATTGTGTACAAGCCTAAGCGATGCAGCCAGTAAAATGTAATCTGTCTCCAGTGGTCCCTACAGTAAATAAGTTGTTTTTCTCGCTGCTAAAGGCAAATTTTAAAGGCTTTGCATTAAGAGCCAACCAACAATCTGTGATTTTTCTTCTTTTTTTTTTTGATTGTTCTGTCAGGAAAGAAATGTAAATGCAAATAACGTGTTTCTCCCATTGCAGTTTTAGAGT